TATCATTACCATGTGCTTGGACTGGACCCTGAGCCAGACTTTGGACACATTATAGACTGTGATCCAATGTTTGTGAAGCATGACGAAGTTATGCTCAAGTGCACACGTGATAGAGAAGAGCTGCTGAAACATTTTTCATGTTACGAAGGCCAAACGAAGATGCTGACACAGATGACAGTTAACAACCTTATTTTTATTTTTTACAATAATGTGTGCTCCTGCGCTGTACCCGGCTTTCATTTACGGTCCGTCTTGTTCACTCTCCCCTCTCATTGGTCCCGGTTCCTGTTATCATAAGGAGAGGAGCGAATTACTCCACTTGTGCTCACCTGTGGCCGGGGCTTCACCTGCGTCACCTCGCAGTGTGGGGGAGGTTCACAAATGGGGTAAATATATACGTCAATTATATAAAAACTATCTCGCCTCTACTTAACGGACTTTCCCTTTTTGCGGTGGGTCTTGGAACGCAACCACCGCGGTAGGAGAGAGACCACGGTAGTTATGGTTTCATTATTGTTATATTTACAAAGACAGAAGCATTTATTTTGCAGTTTCGAGACCGTCTGAAGACATTAGGCGTCCACTTTACAGCAGCAGCAGTCTCTGAACCCATTTTCCCTGTGAGTAACTGAATTCCCTGGTAAACTGACTGATCTTGTACACCTGATTCTCTGCTCTGTCTGTAATCAACACCTCTTGTACCAGCCCAGGCAGCGCATCCCATCCCATCTGTGGAGAAATGTACTGTATTTTGCACCCATTACTGGCCTGCCAACTTCTGCCTCTGCTGCAGAACATCCCATCAGCCCACAGGCTCAGCTGACCGATCGATAGACCATTTAGCGGCGGTGAGCTACACATCCCAGTCATTTGACCTGCTGCAGCGGTGGGAATGGGCCCGGAATCTAATCAACATTGACCCACTGAGAACAAACATGTTGGACTGCTAAGGGGAGAAAGTTCCCAAACCTTCAGAGTAAGATGTACTGTACAGAGTGAAGTCCAGCAGGGTCTGTCATCCAAATACATGGAGGAGCATTAAAACAGATACACTGATTATTACTGTAGTAGCTTTCATCAAAATATCAGTATGTACATGGCTTAATCTGAGGTTAACACTGATCGAAAGCTTCAATAACTTGACAAAATGTTACTTTTTGCTCTTTGCTTATCTTCTTGTGGCAAAATGAGGGACAAACACCAGTCTGTTACTGTTACCCTGTTACCCTTCAAATTTTTGAACTTCAGAGGTGTAGATGGAAGTCAGAGTCAGCAAACACTTATCTGCACAGTCAGCAGTAGTCAACAAAATGGTAACTTCCTGTCAAAAGTCTAATTAGTGGAGGGTGAGGTGACTCGTTGTTCTGTTTCATCAGAAATCTGCCTCTTTGTTTCCTCCCTGCTCTGTTTCCTCCACTCTCTTCTCTCCCCCCTCCTCCATCCACTCAGTCACACAGAAGGCTGTAATTCGCTTTGTGCTAATGCAGCTCTACAGTAGCTATAAAATTATGAAACATTTCCCAGCATCCTTCCAGGTCTCTCAGCTAAAAGCCATAAAAGGGCCCTCCTTGGTCTTATACCTTCCTTATAGAATTATGGCTGGATGCGTAGTGGAGGCTGAAGTCATTCTTACTACACTCACCAGTCATTTTTCTTTTCTGAACAGGCTTATTTGAACCATCACACCACAGAAAGTACATTAAAGTACTTTAGAATTTGACAGTTCTACCGCTTATCTGAATACACGTGGACTGGAGAATTTCTTTCGGCAGGATTTAGGGAACGTGAACTCCATCCAATCAGAAGCTTGTAGATGGTTTATTTTTGGAGAATGATCAACCGTAAAGGAAAATTGTAGGAATGAGTCGTCGAGGGCTGGGCTGTGGTAAGGGGTGGAAGGAAGTAAACAGTAATACAGATGTCATTTCACACAGAGAGGGAGTGGTGCTGGTGGACCAGCTGAAAACTTTCCCTGGTTTTCACTTCGTAGGTCATTTGGACTCATTTGGAACGTTCTTGATAATAGTCTGTGTGTCAAAGTTCTGAAATTCTACTTGTTTGGTCATGCACAGTACGTGTGTGTGTGTGTGTGTATGTACTGTATATTTCTTTGTAATGCACATACATTGCTACTTACATTTTCAATGACATCAATGGCACAAATACCCCGTAATGCGATTGGCTGAAACCTGATCTGTTATCCTGCTGTAGGACTTGTTATCACAGATACGAGGTTGAGAGTCTTTGCAGTCCTTTCAGAAGCCTTAGAGTCAGTAGATAATGCAGAGACGTCCAGACAGACAGACAGACAGTGATATTGATGAGTCTTGGAGAAGGAGGAGAGAATGCAGAGGAATACATGGTGCCAGTTGAACACGGTTCTGAGAAGAACCCCAGTCCTCCTGCCTCCAGACGATCATCTGGTGTAACAGATGGACAGGGTTGTGTCATACCTTAACCCACGTGTCAAACTCAAGCAGGGATTCCCCATAATTCTCCCAACTTAGTTAGATAGTATCACCTAATAATTTTAACTCAAGTTGAGGTCATTTTTCACAAGCACTGTTTCACAGGAGTTCAGAACGTCTTTATAGAACGCACACGTCTTCGTCATGGTCTGTTCCAGCCTTACTAAGGATCGACCAATCAGGCTGCTGAACTCATAGCAGTCACACACACACAGCCTTGTTTTCCTTTTTTCATTGAATTTTGAAGATGTCATTTGGCCAGTGAACCAAAATGTGAATATGAGACGGATAAAGAATTCGATTCGGATAAAGTATTTTCTGAATCAGATCAAAATAATCACATTTTTGTTGTTGTTTCTGGTTTGTCCCTCCAGGAGGCATGAGCGGCGAAAAGCCTGGAGAAGATGATATGAAACAAATGAGGCAGATTTATTTCCAGCTTCTCCCACGGTTTCAAAGTAATTAAAGTCGTGTCATCATCATTTGGACGTCCAGCTCATCTGCACTCCTTAGAGAATATTGGCCGCACAGACTTCCGCAGGAGACACGATGCTGACCTACAGCTGACTGAACACGTACAATGACCCACTTTATGGTCATTTACGAGGTCAGGACACAGCGTGCACTTCCTGGTCATGTCCTCATGGACATAACGCCGGCAGCAGCTCCTGCCAGAGGAGGTTGGCAGATGTCTGTGAAACACTGCGACCTCTGACATGGTGCATGAGGACTTCCAGATGACCTGCTGTTCTCCAAAGGGCCGCGACGGTAACAAAACTTTCTTTTTTTTGTTCATATAGAAAAGTTGTTCTATTCCTTTGTTTCACTTTACATCGGTCTTTACCAACCAGGGGCACGCTGATTCCTAGTGGTACAAGAGAATACATAATACAATTTTTATTATATATTATGATTGAACTTGAACTGCATGCTGTTAACAAAGTCAAGTTAACTTTATTTGTATCGCCAAAATTGCTGGAAGACCACAAATTATTATGTAATAATGACTACTGTCACATGTCATTGAGCAACATTTAAAGAAGCCACGCAGTAATATTATGTGTAAATTAACAAATCCTAAAATTATTTTAAGAAAAATGTTGTATTAAAACAGCTCTGAGGCAGGACAGGGAATATTGATCGGTTGACACAGTGGATTTGACTACAGATCTCTCACACCTCTGTGCAACAGTATCTACAAGAGCATTTTGGGTAAATGACACACAGAAAAGAAAACCTTGAACGATGAGCAGCGCGGGGCCTTGATGGGGGATGAGTTGGTAAAAAGAATGGCTGGGGAGAATCATTAAGACGCCAGCTGGCCAGTGTGTGCATTACAGGCAGTCAGACAAAGAGCCTCTGGCAGCCTCTCTGTAGTTGCATGTGAGAGCTTCAAAACACCACTGCCTGGCTGAAGGAGGAGGGGGAGGGGAGGCTGGAGCACGCTGCCATCAGCAGCAGCGTCACATCCAAGCCTGAGAACGACATAGTACAAAGGAGGGGTGCTGTATATATCTGTATATGCATATATGTCTATATATACATAATGTATGTACAGTACAGAACTGTTTCTAAACACAACACAAAGCTTTGTATCAACCTAATTAGGTCTAGTAACTCATTAGGTCTGTTGTAAAATCTGACTTGTGTGATTGTGACTGACATTGATCTGAACCACAAATCATACCATAGAGTCATATTGTCTTCAAAACTACATAATTAGGTTGATGCGAAGGCTGTGACAGCTAAATGGTAGAAGAAGTATAAGGTCCAATGCTTTATAGTGGAGGCCCCTCTCCTCCCCCGTGCAGACACATTTATGGCTATTGCTTCAAAACAAAGCTTTATTTAAATCTTATGTTTTCCTAAATTACAAATAGAAACTACTGCCCTGCAGCAAGTGTAGAAAGCTGGTTCTTATGTATTTATGTTTGAAGTTGGACTGGGTTACATGTTTCCTCTAAGTTGACCATAGGTATGAATGGGAGTGTGAATGGTTTTCTTAGTCTCTATATCAGGCCCTGGGTTGGACAGGCCAACTGTCCAGATTGTAGCCTCTCTAACCCGATGAATGATGGATTGGACTCCAGCTCACCCTCTGACCCTGAACAGGATCAGGTGGCAGAAGACGTAGTGATACTGAATTGTTTTTACTCACTTATTTTTATGCTGATGGAAGAGAGAAAATAATTAAAAATAGCAACATCATTTTTAAAGGGAACTGTTCCTCTGCTGTGACTGAAGATGCACAAACAGAAGCTACAGGATTTCATAAGCAGGAAATAATTAATATCTCTGTGGTACTGAGAGAGAGAGAGAGCGGTGGCATCTCCATGGATGCTGAGGGAGGAGGGTGATGAGCTGATGAGGGGAGGGGCTGGGAGAGCAAGAAAGACAGAAAGCGAGGGGAGAGGCGGCCACTCAGACGCTGCAGGTTTGTAAGAGCAGGACTCAGAGAAGGAGGAGGAAGAGGAAAAGGAAGAGAGGAGGAATCTAAGGGAGAGAAACGGTGTGGCTGCAGCGGGGGAGGAAGCTAAACACAGACGAACACAGAGACAGAGGTGATACGGGAGGAGGAGGAAGAAGAAGAAGAGGTAAGAAAACAGGGGAACTCCTCATCTCTCTCTCTCCAGATTCTCCCTTTTTGTTATGACGGCAAACAGGCGGAGTCTGCAGGAAGACGGAGCGCTGCTGCTCTCCACTGCTGTGGCTTCCTTTATTCCTCCATCTGTCAGCTGATGGCACCCATATGAGAGAGGCATTGTAGCACTGCAGAGTGATGCAGGGAGGTGGAGAACAGACAGGGGGAGGGAGGAAGGGACGGGAGGGATGGCTGGGATTGTGCTTCACCGACACGAGGAAGTAAAACGTACAAAGCCATTGAATAAAGGCAGCAATAGAAGAAAAAACACATCTGCTCTGCTGTGCAGCAGTGATGAGGGGAGGAGGGGAGGTGTGAGGGGGGTTAGGTCTAGTGTTGGAGTGACAGAGTGCAGGAGCGTTTGGACTGTCAACATCACTTCTCTTCTCCTACTGGATGATGATGATGATGATGATGATAGAAGTTGTCTCTCTGACCCCACCCTGTATTTCTCCTGTGAGGTAATGAAATTAGAATCATGGCTTGTCTGTGTGTGTGTGTGTGTGTGTGTGTGTGTGAAGCTGTGCGTATGTTTGTTTGTCGGTCAGAGGGTCTGCCTGTGACAGCTGTGCTGGATGAAGGCCAAACATGCTTAGTGCTGCCTCCCATCACTGTCAGAGCAGTGGATTAGTGGTGTGTGAGTGTGTGTGTTTTCATTCTGAAGACAGTGATTCCAAAAGCTGCTCTGTCACACATTGTACTAAGCATAGACCAGGCCCATTCAAATGGAGGCTCGTGGACCGTATGTGGTCAGTGGCACGGACATGATGCCCAGGCAACTTGGACATGGTTCTTGGTTCTTATTATAACAAGAAAAAAGTTTTAAAAAAAACAGCTCATGTACATAAATACATATTTGTATATATTTACAGTATGAAGTAAATACAGTATATATATATATATATATATATGTATATGATAATTGGCATAACATGAATTGGTGAGATTGTTGGAGTGTTGGATGCCTGAAGAAGACACAGGGATGTTCCTGTCTTCTTTAATATGGAATAACTTCAATTTTTCATCTTTGGAACAACATGATGAAGAATATACAGTATTTCAAAGCCATGTTTTTTTTCCTTTTCTTAAATTCCAGAAATTCTTCCGATTCTTCTGATCTTGGCTTCCTGCTTCTTTAGAAACCACTCTTGTGATGTCACATAAACAATGATGAGCCTTCACTCAGTTTGATAGTCTGCCCTGTGACTGAGAGGGGAAGAAAACCTGCTTCTTGTTTTCAGAAACAATAATTTGGCAGTAGCCTAAAAAACAAAAAAAAATCAGGCACATTTTATATATTTTTTATATTTTTTTTAGTTATGACAAAACCTCTTCTGTGACGTCAGCTCTTCTCTCGTGTGTCTGTGTGACGTGCTGTTGAGCTCTTGATGAGATTTGAACAGAACATGTTTTTTTTTTTTTTAATCTTTTGGTTTAATTTGATGGTTGTACTTGTACTTGTAGCAGCAGAATTTTATCATTACAAGAAGTATGGATTAATTATTATTATTTTCCGAATAACTGGGAAAATATTATGAAGTTGACCTCTGTGACATATGCACTGTAAATTTGAGAACCACTGAGTTTGATTTTCTTTAATAAGGATTTAGGAGCCTTAAAAGATAGAGTTCAGATTAATAAGATATTTTTATTTATATGTGAACCCTTTATATCTCCTTTCTAATGCCTTCTTAATTCTTAGTGTATTTCTTTATGGCGGTAATAACGCGCAGAGTAAAACTTTACGATGTTTGTGTAAGGTACGACTAGGCGATTACTGGAAGGTAGAAAGTCCACCATGTATAACCCTGTCACTTATTGGACAAAATACACACATTAGATAAGAGGAGACTGACTTTGTCATCGTAACTCCACCCTTCACATACAATTGAAATGGGATTTTACTCAGTATTTTGTGTGAGTAAATACAAAAAAAACACATCAAATGCACTGTTCACATACCACACACTGCAGAATAACAGTAAAAGAGACATTATTTACACACAGTCAACATATTGTGACACCATAGTGCGACAAAGGTCAAGTGAAAGCCTTGAACATACAGGGTTTGGATGCTGTTTAGTTCTGCACACGTGTTTTGTTCCTACCTTCTTCTGTCAGTGTGCATGAGCATTGTTGTTGTTTGGTGTTACATGATGGAGGAGACTATCGATACACCGACGGGGACATCGATCCGTAGTGGCTGCGATAATCCTGCAGGGTGTGTTGTTGTCATAATAAATGACAACACAGTTATGTACAGATCTGTCAGGAAATGTTAGCTCATACACTGGGTGACCACAATAGTAGCTGCAAACACAGACCACATGATGTCGGAAGGGCTCAGCCTCAGCTACACCCCTGACCTTTGACCGGAGTGTGACGTATGGTATGACGTATGAAGTTTAGTTTCAATTAACAGACTTCTAAGTGCGTCAGGTGAATATATGAGTAATGTTGAAGAAATCTGGGTGGAAGGAGTCCAGGAGTGATTACTGTATGTAACACACACAGCTATGGTGCTTTTGTCTTGGGGGGGGGAAGAGTCTAGTTTAATAACAGATGTGGTGAATGGCTAAAATGAGTCAAATGCAGCACAAACAATGTCATTATAGACATTAGAAATGGTGATGTCTTAGTTAACACATGCAACAGATTAAAGCTGAAAAGTCAAATAATAAAGATAGCTAATAATAAAATAGATAGTTAGCCACAGTGCCGTGACAGAATTCAATCAAAAGGTAACAAGTCTCCCAACAAAGAAAATGCAACAACAATTAGTTTTAATTAAAATCACACAAAAAGCTACAGATTACAAAGATGTAACTACAAACAAGCATATAAGTAGTAGGCGTACTAAATCAAAACCAGCTAAATTAACATTTAACAAAAAATAAAAAGATAATATTAAAAAAGATAGAAGATTATTTATAGAAAAATGAGAGAAATTGGACAGAAAATTATGAAATATACTGTAGTTCTGTGCTCAAAAAGCTATATATGTATTTATATGTATATGTAACATATATATTATAATGGTACACATGTCTATATATCTGTTTTCCTGCCCACAAGTGGACCTACTAATTTCCACCCACGGTCTAACAGATAAAGTAACTGCCCCGTGAAATGGAATGCGGCCTGGATTTACACCACTGAACACATGCAGATGTATGGCTCTCATTACTGAGCCTGACCCTCTGGACGCCTTTGTCGCTGCGAACATAAAAACAACAATTTCTGTCATAATCTCAGTGAAGATTCCTGTGGAGGTGTAACTGTAATGTACTCTTACTCTCCACATGTCTTTCCTTCATCCACTCAGACTCAGACCCCACCCCACTGACCCATGATAGAAGCCATGCCGGTGCTCACAGCAGGAGCAGGTGAGTGGAGTCACACAGTCGCTGTTCACTCTACTGTAGCTCACTGCGCTCCATCTGGACGCTCCAATGTACATGATGGTGTTCTACGTTGCCCTCTGCAGGGCTTCATGAAACACTGGCCCTGCTGACCTCACAGCTGCGGCCTGATGCCAACCACAAAGAGGACATGGTGTTCCTCAAAGATGTCTTCAGTGAGAGGAGCCTTGCATACCTTATGAAGGTGAGGCAGCTCCTCCTTCTCACAGCAGGGTTAATAATCCAAACATAATCTACATGTTCTCAGTCCTATCCATCCATCCATCCATCCATCCATCCATCCATCTATGGTGCTCAAATAATACCCTTGTAGGAGTTTGAAGTATTTTTATACATAGTTATACACAATGCATTATATGTCTCAATATAAGATGGACAACACTGTGGATTTTATCACACTGCCTTTGACAAAGTGTTTGTTTGGACCGCAGATCCATGAGAAACTACGGCAGTACGAGAGGCAGAGTCCTACACCGGTGCTCCACAGTGCCTCCTCTCTGGCGGAGGATGTAAGTTCATCACACTTGCACCAAAATTCCAAATCATTTTCCAATGTCTGCAGTCAGTCACAGTGGTGTTATGTAGTGCAGAGAAGCATGGTAGGTAATCGACGTGAATCTTAATGTCCTCAAAGTGCTGAATCATGCTGGTGCTTATCTTCTTACCTTCTCGCTACATCCTGATGTTCACTCCAATGATCAGCGAAGAAAAATGCTGACCTTAGCCGCTCTTCACTTACCTCTGTCTGTGTGCATGTCTGTGGAGCTGTTAGTCCTGCTGCTACAGTAAACTCATGTTGATACGAGTGTTGTTGATGTTGTGATTGTCAGGTTACAGAGGAGCTGCAGAGTGGACCAATGAGCTCTGAGGAGAAGGAGCTGCTGCACTTGCTCACATCACCACATCTCAAAGTAAGTTCTTGCTATAGAGGCTTGAAAAAAAAGGAACTAAAATAACGTAACATCAAAGCTAAACGGTGTTCACAACCAATAATCTTGCCTAAGACACACACTGCAGAATTTTGTATACAGATTACCAAGTCTTCCCTGCAGGGGGTGCTATAAGTACAGTAAAGCCTACACCAACAACCAAAAAAAAAAAANCTTTTACTGTATTTTTTTTTTTTTTACCAGAGTCAGAGTTTAGTACTGTCCTGACGTCCATTGTATTTTCTCTGTGAAGATTACTGCAGGCGCTGCCAGGCGTCACGCTGCTCTCCAAGATTTCTGTCTGCCAACAATACGGACTGTAATAATCACAACATGTTGCTGTTCCATCCCAACAGGCCGTTCTCTCTGTGCATGACATTGTGGCTCAGAAGAACTTTGACCCCGTGCTTCCACCGCTACCAGACGACTTCGAGGACGAGCTGGAGGAGGATTCTGTGAAGATTGTGAGGCTGGTGAAGAACAAGGAGCCGCTGGTCAGTTGTTAGGATCAACAGCAGTGTCAAAGTCTAATATACACAACAGGATTGAAGACAAAATAGGTTTTTAGTCATTTCTGCTAATCTGTTACTGCTCTTAATGCCTCTATGTATCTGCTTTTATTTAAGGGAGCCACCATCAGACGAGATGAAGCTACAGGGGCGGTGATTGTTGCTCGGATAATGAGAGGAGGTGCAGCTGATCGGAGTGGTAAATTCTGTTTTATCTCACTCATTTAAGTAGCTATCATTCCATCAGTCCCACATTGATGTCAATGACCACAATATATTCAGCTCATAAGGAGTCTTCTTTTAACTCTTAATTATGGAGTTTTCCTTGTGAAGACTGCATTTGCCTTACAGTGCTGTTTAACAAGAAAATACATATATATATATATATATATATATATATATATATATAATGACTAAGCAAATTCCCCTTATGACCTGCTTGGGATTATGAATATCATGAATGCAGCCCTATTCTGGAAGCTGTTATTACACTGGACATTTTGTCCTGTTTAATGCTGATTCAACCCACTCTAAAAACCCCTCTTTAAAAGCAGGGAATGAAGGTGCTGAGGGAAATAGTGTTATGAAAATCTCCCTTTTAGCAATATGTGAATGTACACCATTAGGGTATAAACAAAACTATTGATGTGATGCAGAGATAGAAGTCAGAAACAAAAAGGGTTTGATTTTATGGTATTTTTCAGATCACCGTCTACTGCTGGGTTTACTGAGGGGAACTTGCTGTCATTCATTTTGCTGACATTATTGTCAGGGCTGTCTGTTTCCCCTTCCTGTTTTGTCTGCAGGGTCGAGTTACTGTGATGACATTCACCTGTGTGTGTTATGGTTTACGCCTCAGAGTGCTCATGTTCATCTCGATGTTCACCTGAGTCTGTCTTTAACCTCCTGCAGGGATTCATCCTGTGCAGAATATCCTTGTGTCACTGCAGCATTTGTCTTCGGACTCTAGGCTGCAGTCTGTGCTGCTGCTGCTGATATGTTTTACTGTCTCTGTCAGACTGTTTGATTTTTAGGTAACAGCCTAGAAAAATAGTTCAAAAAGTTTAGAGTATAAGTAGATTTTGTTTGGTTCTACGGACATCCAAAAAAAAAACCCATTCTAGCCTAAATGAATTTGTTAAATACAGTTGTATTTGTCTGGGCCTCATTGTGATATCACAGGTGGCCCACTTTGCACTGCAGTATTATCTTTTCTAGGTTACTTCCTCTACTACCCATGGGAGAAAAGAAAAGCTTGGATGGTAAAATCTCTTGCGACCCACCTGAGGGTCGCGACCCAGTCTTTGGGAAACAATGCTATATATGGCTACATTGCTAAATGTCTTTTCTGTCACTTAATAATTAAAAAAATGGAAATGCATATATGTATTTTTTAAATTACCTGGGTGGAGAATATGTATTATTTACATCTTCTCATGGGCCAGATGTAGGCTGTTTGTGGGCCGGATATGACCCCCAAAGCCAGGGTTTCCGACAGAGACACCATACGTCCTCAACAGGCTGCTGACTTTTGGAACAGTGCAATGGCTTTTGACGTCGTCATCAGTTCATCATCAGTTCAGTTCAGTCCTCTTCAAATTTGGCTTTACCATTAGTAGCCATTACAAACACGCACACACAATGGGAAGGTAAAAACCAATCAATTTCAACATACATTAATCATTAATACCTTCCTCCATTTTCTTGCCCTGTCAATGATGGAAAAGCTTCCGTCAGTGCCGAGACAGAAGCTGCAGAGAGCTTTTCCGTGGCCTCCAGCGTTTTTGTAGGTGTCACGGATGCATACATTACGCCGTGTCTGATATGTGCAGGTGCTTCCTGAGGGAGAAGGAAAATGTTGATCTCTCTGTCCTCTCATCACTGTTGTGGCTGCATCACAAAAGCATTCAGAGCTGGGTGTATGAGACATCCCGTATCAGCTGATCTGGTGTTAAGACATGACAGATAAACCTTTAAAAGAGCTGCGCAGCCTCCTGTCACCGATGTTTCTACCTTCTCCCTCTGTCTCAATCCTGTTCAACCATCACAGGTCTGGTACACGTAGGAGACGAACTCCGAGAGGTTAACGGAGTCTCTGTGATCCATAAAAGACCAGACGAGATCAGTCAGCTGCTGGTAAGATGAGACACTTCAATACTGTTCAGCAGCCTTGGAATTTAGTGGGGTTTCAGCTGTTAATGCTGTTCTTTTAAATCATTATCCATTCAGTAGTTAAGTGTGGAAAAACTGAAGTAAGAATGTGCAGTGACGCTTTATTGTAGTTTGCTCTGTACAGCTTGTTTTTCCATAGATTAGATCAGGTATGGGCAAACTAAGGGCCAGGGGCCGGATGTGGCCCTTTGAGCTTTTAAATCCGGCCCGCCAAACTTAATAAAAGCATTTTAGCATTTTAGCCCTCAAGTCAAAAAGTTTGCCCACGCTTGGAATGGATCATGCTAAATGACAATAATCCTAGAATGTCCCTGTAGGTTATTTGGGGATTTGAAATATGGTAACATTTTCTGCAGATAGTTAAAATATGGAGGTTTAATGTACGACTTGTAGTAGTGAAGTAAAAATAGGTAATAAGTAAAAAAAAAGCCTTAATGTTGACCAGAAAAAGGCAAAAGTAAAATAAACATTTTAGCTAAACATAGCTAAAGATTTAGCTAAAATAGCCTGTCGGTTCAAATGATATAGATATAGTATATAGTACATAAAGATATGTTAAATCTAAGTTAGCTGAAATCAAAAACAAAAAAATCCCCTCCTCTCAGATGATCCTCACTTTTGATTGTATATAATTAGCCTGAACACTGTGTTTGAAAGCCAAAAATATCTTTTGTTATTTTGTGTTTTTGTTTAACTTGAGCCTGTCACTGTAATCACGATGTTTTTTCTTTTCCTTCCCTGTGATCTAGTCCCAGTCCCAGGGCTCCATCACACTCAAAATAATCCCTGCAATTAAGGAGGAAGATCGACTGAGGGAGAGCAAGGTCAGGAGAGGCCGCAGTAACGTCACGTGACAGACTTTTTGTGAATTTTTTTTTGCACCTGCGTCTCTTTTAATAATGATTATCAACACTACACTTTGCCTGCAGGTTTATGTGAGAGCTTTGTTTGACTACATCCCGTTAGAGGACAAGGCCACGCCCTGCCAGGAAGCAGGACTTTCCTTCAAAAGAGGAGACATCCTGCAGGTCGTGACGCAGGACGACGCCACATGGTGGCAGGCTAAACGTGTAGGAGACAGCAACCAGCGGGCTGGACTCATCCCTTCTAAACAGTTTCAGGAGAGGTGATGTCTTTTTTCTCTTCTGAATAATGTCTTTCTTGATGGCTTGGTCTTTACTAACAAATCTACTGGTTTATACTGTGGCCGTCACACTCCAGCCACTGATGACGCCAGAGCTGTGTCACAGAGAAGCATGAACCACTGACACGTCTGATGTCTTAGTCTAATAATCAACCCTAACTCTTTGTGTCTGCCCCTTTTTATTTGATTGATTTGTCCTCTGGGAGTCCCCCTGTATCACTTTTACTCACTTTTATGTCTCAGTTAATAATTCTTTCCGTTCCTTCATTCTGCTGCACGTTCCTCCAGGCGACTGGCCTACAGGATGAAAATGGGAACTCTCCCGAATCCAAAATCCCCTAAAAAGCCTGACTGTAAGTTTGTGCTTCCTGGCATTCCTCTGGCATCCTCT